CTTACATATGATGAAGCAGCAAAAGTCGCTGAAAAGTGTGGGAACGTGGCGCTCGTGCTCAATGTCGTTGGCCAGCTTTTTAAAAATGACTACAACAGAGCAGAAATCATGGAAGGACTATCATCAGATGCTGGAGTTGATTTTGAATTCTTTAATTTCGGGGATTCTCGGCCACATTTTAATATCTACAATTGTCTTAATGCATCTTTCACACGACTTCCGAAAAATCTACAAGATAACTTCTGCCTCCTTTCTCTATTTCCATCAAGTTTTTGTGTCCGACATGCAAAGACACTTCTAGGACTTTCCTCTGAAAATAAAGCCAGAAAGTCACTGCAAGTGCTTGAAGATAGATCTCTGATCAGTTGCGACCAGGTTGAAAAGCGTTATACAATGCACAAGCTGCTCAAGTCTTTTGCCTCTTACCAAGTGCAGAAAGTCAGAAATCAAGCTATGAAACATCATTTTCTGATTGCGGCAATGCATGAGGACATCACTAACTTAAATGACAAACTGCAACGTGACAGCAGTAGGGAAGCATCCATATTTTACCACAGGGAAAGAGATCTCTTCTTGGAAGTAGTCAACGCATTCAGTCAACTTCCTAAATCGTCAGAGCAACGTGTTTTGTATCACAGCGATATCATGATTCTTGCAGATGCCATGACAGACATCGGTGACTACAGACAAGGTCAACGTGCATTTGAAGCGTTACAAGATTTTGCTGGAGAGAACAGAAGTGTATTGAACCCCGCAATGATAAAATTCAAACTTGGCCGGCTCAGTGCCCTCTATCGAAACAGAGAAAGTGCTAAAAATAACCTGAATGAGGCATTAGTATTCTTTGAAACAGACTCAGTTTCAGAAAGTGAAAGCATCGCAGCAGAATGTTGGTATTGGTTGGCATTTGCAGCTTTCGAGGAAAATGACAACGAATCATGCCAAACTCTGATTAAAAGGGCTTTGTTACACCTTGGAAATGAAAATAGCGATAAGTATGCTCAGTATCGGGTTATGCAAGCCGTGTCACTGTCTAAAGAAGGAAATAGCAAGGATGATGTTATAAAAATATTAGAAGAAGTGACTCCTTCATTCAGTGACATGAAAGCAAGTTACACCACCTGTCACACTATTCACGACGCAGCAGTAGCATATGACAACATAGGGAAATCAGAGGAGGCCTTAGCATTATATGAGACATGTTTGGAGATTGAGAAAAGAGTATTTCCTGAGCATCCAATAATGGCTGCCACTCTTGGCAACATGGCATCAATATGTCAAAGACTAGGAGACACAGACAGTGCATTGATTAGATATAGGCAAGGATTACAGATACATCAGAAAGTCTTAGGTGACCATATTAACACCGCCAATACTCTACATCAGACAGCATACACAATGCACCAGATGGGTGATGTGGACGGGGCACTGGACATGTACAGAAAAGCACTGGCTATGTTTGAGAAAGTTCTCAAAGACAAGCCTGATGCTAACATGGCCACTACCATCAACAACATTGGTGCGATCCTGGAGGAGAAGGGCGACATGAGGGGTGCACTAGAGTACCACAAGAGGGCGCTAGAAATAAGGAAAAGTGTGCTTGGAGATGAACATCAAGATACAGCAGCATCATTCCACAATTTAGCAAGTGCACAACTTAACTCAGAAGACAATGACAATGCAGTGATATCATGTATACAAGCTCTACAGATACGGCAGAAGGTACTAGGAGACCACGTTCACACCGCCGCTACTCTAAATCAACTAGCATACACAATGCACCAGTTGGGTGATGTGGACGGGGCACTGGACGTGTCCAGACAAGCGCTGGCTATGTTTGAGAAAGTTCTCAAAGACAAGCCTGATGCTAACATGGCCAATACTATCAGCAACATTGGTGTGATCCTGGAGGAGAAGGATGACATGAGGGGTGCACTAGAGTACCACAAGTGGGCGCTAGAAATAAGGAAAAGTGTGCTTGGAGATGCACATCAGGATACAGCAAAATCAGTTAAGCGGGTAAAACTTGCACAGAGTCTACTTTTTGCACAATATGTGGTTCTGGAAATAATGGGGGAACTATTTAACCAAGTTCTCAGCTATTTATTTAACAAAGTTATCAGCTCTTCCTCTTCTTAAATGGTCTGATTAGTTGTTAAGTTGCTGTGGCTTGAATGAAGAATTCATATTTAACGACAAATTTGTCTTTTTTCACTTTTATAGTAAGCCCCAGTAGCACAGCGCAGGTGCCGAGGAATGTTAATGTTTATATTATTATTATTATTATTATTATTATTATTATTATTATTATAGGAACCCAGTGCATTAAGACAGTGTATGCATTTGTAAATAAAGAAAGCGATAAGGTGACATGCTAAAAGCATTTTAAATGTTTTTACATTTTAACCCCCTCCCCATTTTTAGTGATAAAGTTGATTTAGTTTATAATTATTCATTTAAAATATTCTATATCATAATTGCTATGCACATTGCTTTATTCGTATTCATAAGTATAAAGTATTTTTGCAATTTTGGTAATTTTTTTATGATATGATGTGCTGTAAATAGTTACAGAATCTATCTAGAGAAATTATCACATGTTATAAAGACTCATTTGTCTTTTGAAACATGTTTTTATATCTTATGTAAGCGTACTATTAAACTCGTTTAAAGATATACTGAATACGACAACCGCCAGGCCCGTATACAGATGTGTTGGTGGTTCAAAATTTGATCTGGATAATATAGTGTGCTATTTTTCACTTAAGGTCAACTGAAGGAATTAACAGGACACATTTTCAGGAAAAGAACTCGCTCTTTGAAATTGTTGGCAAAAAGCCTTATTATAGCAAGATTTGTTCGTTATACAGACTTGACATTTTTAAATGACAGTGGAATATTTTAGTTTGAAAGTTATGTCTAGGTACAAATATGTAGTCAGGTGTGTCAATAACAATTAATTGACTGCCCTGTCTGAAGCACTGCTGCATAACGTAATGTGTGGTGATTTCTTTGGGTAGTACTTTTTTGGCAGGTCCAACTATGACTTTGGCAGAGCATGATTTTGTAAAGCAAACTCAATATTTCGGCAGCGCCTGCACAGAAGATTTAGAAATTTTACAAACGAGTAGTGGATGTTACAGTGCGTAAACTGGGTGAAGCAAGGTATGACAACATTGTTGTTCTGCGCCAGGATGGCGCACAACAGATAGCCATTGACATAGAGATTATTGTGTCACAAGGAACACTCCACACAGGTACACAGGTAGGAAAAATCAAAGAAAAGTTGATTGAAATTCAAGTAGGGGAAAATCAAAGGAAAATGATTTGGAAAAAAAATAGTCCATGTCAAGTCTGCAGATTGGTTTGTAGGGAGAATGAGGTGGTTTCTGACATAGACAATTTACATGCTTGTAAGTGTTTATAAGTTCATAGATTAAGATCTAGAAAGATTAATCAAATGGTTATGCATATTTTGCATATTTTATTGCCTTGTAAAAATAGGCCAAATTAATTTTCTTTACAATTGCACAGATGTGATTTATCACTACAATGAAGTGAAAAGGCTGATTATTTTATTCATTTTTCTATAATTGGGTGAAATCCACCTTTTTTTTACCTATATAGTATTCCAAAGTGATCTCTATGTAATGAGACTGCATGCATTTAATCCATTCTTTGAACCCAAACAATTTTAATTGATTTAATAAAAAGAATTATAGGATGAACAACGGTAGTGGTGGGATCATTTCAACCAAGAATAATTATCAATTTTTCGGGTACATATAATCTTGGGATCACGACAAATACATTTTTATGTTACATTTTGGTGGGTTTACTCTATAGAATAGAACTATAAGGTAGTCTGTTTATTACCACTTAATGGGAATGTTTTAAGATTTATTAATTAAAAAAAGTATATGTAAATTCAACATTTCCTGAGTCATTACCACAAGTGTACGGAATGTGTTGTTTTGGCACGACAAACTGTGATGAACGTTTTAAACTGACGTTTTAAACTAATCTTTGTTATTTACGTACCATCATTCTTTCGAATCCTAAATGCAGAAATAAAAAAATCGTACGTTAATTATTACCATGCGTTTGAAGTACATATCTCGCTGAAGCCGAATAAACTCCTTTGTCTGTTACAATATTACTTGCATATGCATGGATATGTTATTTTGCATGGATATGTTATTTTGGTAGAACTTGCGTAGGCCTACTGATTGATATCAAGATCATTTGGGGTGTGGGGGGGGGCATAGGGAAGTTTGGCGAAGACAAACGATGTTTTTCGAACACTATATCTGTGTTTGTCCTTTACTTATCCTTTCGCTTGGGTTAATGAGGAGACATAAAGGTCAATTAATCAGTCAAGTTATATTTTAATAAAAGCGGCCGCTACCGGCCAAATTTCGAACACTATACCGTTGTATCTGTGTTTGTCCTTTACTTATCCTTTCGTTTGGATTAATGAGGCGACATAAATACCGTATTAGACTATAACAGATTTTATCTATGAGTAGTAACAGGGCATCTTATTAGCTCTTATTATTTTTTCTCCCTTTGGAGAGCATAAAAGATGTCGGATGTGAAGAACATATTTTTATAACCCGAAGTTTCTTTCTTTCTTTCTTTCTTTCTTTATTTATTCGATGTTCTCGACTCTTACTTAAGAAAGTTTTACATGCAAGAATTCAATAAAGCGTTTGGGGACATGGGATGGTTTGTCGAACATCGAGTAAATATTTTCATCAAAAACCAAAAGTTTTCTATCTAAATTATTAGTATTATTATACTTTTGTTACTGTTTTATTCCCTTATTCTCTCATTTAACTCTATATTAAGATTTGCTGTTTGCATTATTTTTGTTCTTTCCCATGAAAAAAAATTGTAAATAAAATATATCTACACCGCTTGGACACTATTGCCTCTGTGCCTCACTTGTTTACCTTGGTATGTATATTTAGATTTGTTTACAAAACCGCAAAGAGCACTGTAAACCGCAGTTTAAATCGATACGCTTCCCGCGGGGTCGCTGGCTTTGTTAAAAACCAAGGTGTTGACTGTGTTATTGACCCGTGGTGTAGAGACAGGCGTTGTGAAATTGGGGCAGACCAGGTAAGCTGCAATTCAAGGCACTCTTTGTCGTCACCATTGACTTGTCAGTCAACTAAAAAAAATATAGTTGACGACCAGGGTATCATTATTTTTACCCGCCTTACATTGAGGTGTATGCAATTTGCGCGTTCCTATTAGAAGAGGTACGATCGAAGGTGAGTACCACAGAGTCGTGGTTGTTGTGTTTAAGATGAAAATTGTAGATATCTTAGTGTTAGAGATAACGATGCGGCATGTAAGATTGTTTGATTTTGGAAGATGGACATATTATCACGCACATGCATATTGTCTACCCTCTACCCGGGCCACAGGATATTCACAGATATGTCTTTTTATAAGTAGTCGGTCATTTTGCTATCTCTGGCCTTTCTCTATATAATCTGCCACCCTGGTAGAGGGTATGCTACATATTGTCGGACAAGGAGATTTAGTAAATTCTTAAAAGTGGGATGAAAGAACACGGCCACGCCTTTCGGGTTCTTTCTTGTTTGTATATTCCTGCTCTTGCTGAGTCTCTTTAATGAGATATATGATTAAGAAATCGCTTGGACTTTTACGAGGCTGATCTTTATTTCGCAAGGTGCTATGTACATCGTTTACTAGAAACACGCTGCTAGATATATGTAGTTTTTGAGGTCTTATAAAGTAACAGGATGGTGGCGTCCAAAACCCGTTAACAAATTTTAATAAACACTCACACAGTCATATAACCCCACCAAACCTACGACCCGCCACATCAAGTACATGTAGAAGGCTAGCTACTTGGCTAGCTATTTGTACAGCTTAAATTGGGTTTTTAACCGAACTGCTTTTGACGTTTTGAAGTGCTTTGAATAAAACATGTGTATTTTCCAGTCAGAAACTGCTCAGTATTGTATAAATCCCGAGGTATACGTTTAAAATGCATAATTAAGTATTGGAGACATGCATAAGTAAGAGCTATACTGAAGATGTTAACACAAAGGCTCACTGGCGACTGATCAAACCCGCAGTGTTATTTATTCCTATAGGCCTACCTAACTACCAGATTCGGCACCGTATGAGCCCGAATTCACCGGCAGATCGGACCACACTGCCCGTTTTCAAGGTCTGCGTCAGGACGCATTTCACAGTATCATATCCCGAACAAATTTTATGGGTGATGCAATACTCTCCAACCCCGCTGATAATCATCGCTATCACACATCGCGTAGTAGGCAAGAGCGGTGTCGCGTCTGATACTTCGAAGCGTGTACTGATACACTCCTTAAAAACGGGTAGTGTGGTCCGATCTCCCGTTGAATTCAGGATCATTCGGTGCCGAGTCTGGTAGTTGGGTAGGCCTATACTGTACACAAAACACATAAAAATATATCAAGCAACTTTTTACAGTAAGAAAAAATTGCAACCAGTTACGACAAATTTACTAGAGACCTTTAAATCAACACAATAAAACTAAAGCTGATCTTTACTTTAACCATGGAGTTATAACAGTTATAACTCCTTGCTTTAACGAGATGAAACCATAATTGAATTTACGCAATCGTTTTTACTACTGAAATCATCAAACTTTAAAACTTGATTACAGATCTCTTTTATGAAAACAAGATACAGGTAATTAATAATTCTATCAAATTTGATATAATCTGATTGAAAATAAGAAATAAATTAAGTGTAATTTGGCCATGTTAATACGCTCACAATTGAATAAATAAATTGTCGCTGTTGATACTAGTCGATTACGATTGAACTGGAAGAGAAATGTTTTCAGGACGAAATGCGACTGCGGCCAAAGATGGTTGTCGCGTTCACGGTGTCACCTGTGCTTGACACTACATCCAGTTTATTTCAGTGTTATTGAGGTCATATCGCTAGCGCTTTCTATGCCAATGGAATCAAACGACGGTTCATAGTCAGCCTAAAAGCAGCATAAAACATAAACAGGTTTTGTTATTATTTCTGCCAGGATATAATATCAAGGCTGCATACAAACGAGTAAGTGAGTACTTAATGACAGTCTCGCCTTCCTTAGACTCGGGGCGGAAAGTGTTGTTTTCTATGTTCAAACTATTGTGGAGTAAGGAGTGTATTTCAGCAAGAACGTAAATTGTCTTCAACGTCCTTGATTTCAGATAGGTACAAACATAACTGGTTTTAAGATGACCTCTAATGTTAACCTTTCTGCCCCCCCCCTTTTATATGCAAAATACGGATACCCACCATTACTTCTAAAAATAAACTGGGTGACCAACTGTTTGTTTATTCTATAACATATGCAGCAATAATCTTGGTTTGCAAAGAGTGCTGCAGTTGTCCAAATTACGTATATTATTAAACTTTGAACTATGAGACTGAAAAAAAACGGCACAAAATTTTTTATCTGAGAAGTACTTGTATTTTTATATACAGATTTATTTTGAAGGCTTTGTATTGAAGTAAAAATTGACATCAAAGAGCGGAGTAAACACGTACAAAGTACTCTGAATGCACGCTACACTCCATCCACATTCAAAACTTTGCTGTACGGCTATTGAAATTTCTCGCTGAATGCATCAAATTTTGGGCTGTATTTAGAAAAGAAAACTTCACAGGTTCAAGTGCTGTTTTAGTGCTGTATCATTATATTATTAATATCTAATATTTCATCTATCTATCTCGCCCAAATCTTCGGACATGGTTCACTATAAAATTACCCACGATAACCCAATGGCATATATGCACAAATAAATGTTCATGGCATTTTACAGGGTAAAATAACCATTCAAAACAATCTATTTTTTCCGCTCTTACCTCGCATCTCACCGACTACAACTGACGCACGGGCAACTCCCTTGCAAAACTTCGATTAAAAAATCCAGTTTTTCCTCTAATTGGACTTTACTTTGTCATTTATATTAAGGATGTCATCTTTGATAGTTTTAACCTTTTTTTTCAGTTTCAGAAGAAAACAATAATGATCGCCTTTGCCGTTGTCCTAATTGCCTCGGTTGCAATAGCAACCTCTACTACGGTGGGGAAGCTAGCGGAGGTGAATGCCGACTTCGGTTTTCGTATGTACGACCAAATCAAATCCAGCCAAGGTGTGACTGACATCTTCTTCTCGCCCATCAGTATTTCCACGGCCCTGGGGATGCTGCGACTTGGCGCCAAAAGTTCCACCTTGGATCAAATATCGACCTCGATGAAGTTTAACACTTTGGGCAACAACCAAAACCAACTTTTTAAAGACTTGAATGACATGTTGTACAACACAAGCAACAACTACACATTGAAGTCAGCCAATAAAGTCTTTGCAGACCAAAGATTCGCCGTCAGGGACACATTCTTAAATGGAACCAGGGATTACTTCGGGGCGGAGTTAGAAAAGCTGGATTTTCAGGGGAACCCAGCGGCAGCACGAACGCGTATCAACCAGTGGGTTGAGGAGAAGACAGAAGATAAAATCGAAGACCTGATGTCGCCGAGTAGCATCACTCAACAAACTGTCATGGTATTGGCTAACGCCGTCTACTTCAAGGGACTGTGGACTCAGAAGTTTGATCGCCAACTTACGTCCAATGCAACCTTTAGAGATGGACAAAATGAGGTGAGATTGGGGAGCGTTTTAGTATCAAGAAAATAGCAAATGACACGATGATAATGAAAAAAGAAAAAAGTCGAATTCAAACGGCGCGAATAATTTATGAAAAAAGGTAACATCAGCGCAATGAGACGCTATATATGAATAATATAGCACTACACATCAGGTCTTATTACTCCTGGACCAATAAAACATGTAGTGGGATAGAAAACTGATGATCATATTTTCAATCAATTGTTTGGACTGATATTTCTTCAGGTTTTGAAAATTTATGCCTTCTAGTAAATTGCAGTAAAGGCAATTGTTATCGTTTATAAGTTATAAATATAGAAACGTCAGTATGTACAACATACAACAAATAACCAAGCATAATAATTTACATCATAAAGTATAAAAATTTTATTTTAAAAATTTCAGTTCACTGTGCCAATGATGACACTGGCCGACAAAAGATTCAATTACGCAGAAAGTTCCTCATTGAACTGCCAAATCTTGGAGCTACCCTACGCGGGAAGCGTCAGCATGTTCATCCTTCTTCCGACGAACACGAGTGGGCTTGACCAACTCGAGAATCAGATCAACGTAGTTAACTTGAACAGCTTGATCGGGGAAATGATGTCCAAAAAGGTGAACATTTTCATCCCAAGGTTTGAGCTGAAGGACTTGAAGTTGAATCTGGCGGACTATCTGAAGGCGCTTGGGATGACCCGTATGTTCACTGACACGGCTGACTTGAGCGGTATTGGTGGAAACCCTGGAGATCTGTATGTGTCGTCTGCCGTGCACAAAGCGTTCATTAAAGTAGATGAAGAAGGTATGTCGAACATTATAGGTTTATTAGTCTTATTTTAATGGATGATTCCCATATAAATCAACGTTCTTAGTATTTCATAACAAAAAAAAAAAAAAAAAAAAAATGGAGAGATGTTTTATCGGGCGTCAAGGGGGGGGGGGGTACGAGGGTTCGTCACCTTAGCATATCTCTGAAAACACATTTAGTTTAATGACTTTAGTGGCAGAGCGAGGAGATCGCACGCATGTTTTAAATCTTTCAAAGTGAAAAAATTGATAAAAACAGTAAGAAAGCCTATATTATTCTAATCAAAGCTATAATTTTGTGTACTTAACAATGATTATTTTTGTTATGAAAAATGCTATATTCAGTCTGAATTTACCGATTCACAGGGACCGAGGCTGCGGCCGCCACCGGGATAGGAATAGGTCTTACTAGCGTGAACACCGACCCAATTCCCGTCTTCAGAGCCGACCGCCCGTTCATGTTTTTCATTCGTGAAAACAGTTCTGGGACCATATTGTTCTTCGGGAGATTGAAGAAGACCCCAGCAAGCACCTCAACTACGGCTCAACCAACTGTGGGAAGTGGGGCTGGGGCTTTCATGAATGACAAGAACCAAGCCCTTTTCTTCGTCACAGCCGCCGTTTACCTGCTTGCAAGTTATTGGCCATTCCAGAAATAAATACTACATGTATTTGACGCGCAGCAGTTTCGAAGCTTTTTTTAAAAAGATTTTCAAATCTTTATAAGCTTTAAATGTTGCTAACGGAACTCTTTGGATCAACAAAACATTTGCGTTATAAATAATCTCTATAATATGCCCTCAGACAAAAATTTTATTATGTTATATGCATGGAGTCTAGTTACCAAATCAGGCGATCCAAGCAATGGTCTAGGTATTTCACAGATTTGATTCTTTCAGACTGAAACAAGTACGAGGGAAATATACAAAATATAATATAACAGTTTTATTAATCAGCTTTTTATATCTGCTGCACCTGAGCTTTATTTGGTATTGTGTTTTATAACAAGTGACTGTAAGTGATTGGAACAACATAATATATAAGAATATCCAATGTTTATATCATCACTTTGATTTAGTTATGACTTTGGCTTCAGAAGGATCAAACAAGACTGTTTTCCTTGTCAAAATAAAATATCTGTGCTGTAAGGACTGACTTCTCTATAAAATTTAAAAAATACTATTAAGTGACATTCAGAAAGTTTCTCTGGGAATAGCTTGCTTAATCTAGCAGTCCATGATCAACACTTCCAAGCAGCAAGAATGGATTCTGTGATGCTTTCTGAACATTGTCATTGTCACTCATGCTGTCACTGTCTTCATCATCCCCATCACCTGACATACTAGAACGTTTACAAGCATCTTGCAGTCTTGCTATCTCCTCAGTGTCAGGATGATTTTCCCAGTGATCTGTCAATATTAAGAAAAATAAAACATAGAGTGCTTGGACCTGGTAAGAAGATGTAGAGAAAATTGACCCCTATGAAACTACACAAGTTAAAGGGTGCTTGAATTTTGTGTATGATTGGTTTAGCATTTTTTACATTAAAAAAAAAAGAGAAAACCTTCCAGTTACTCAAGGGACTAAGTAAAGAGCCAACCATGAAAAATTGTTGCAATTAAGGGATGCATCCAGTAAAGATACAAAAGAAGCATGAGTAAATTCCCTGTTATTATCCAAATTTTTAGTACTGGTTTCTTACACAACATGAACTATATGGTTGTGCTATTTGAAACTATAGGGTGGCCGGCATTTGGTTTAGTTTGCTAGATTAATTTAAGGCATTAATTACTCGCTAATATGCATCTTCAAATGAATCTGCTAATGGGGGTAATATTCTGTTTATACAATCATAATGACAACCACAATCAATTTCAGCAATAATAAGGATAAAACATAGGTCCAGATAAACCAACAAGAATCATACTATATTCTTAATCAAATCTCCAGGAAAGTTCTCATCCTTTCATCCCATCTAGATAATGGAAAATTTAATCTCTTTGTGTTACAGCTTTGTGGATGCAGGCACGCATACATGTACATACATATATACAAACAAACACAATGTTTTCTCTCTACAATAGCACTCCCCCACTATCAGTCCAGTTCTTACCACTGACCTCTATGTGCTGTGTAGCCTGGTGGACGTAAACATAAACTAAGTCTTCCCTCCAAGGCAAGTCTCAGGAGATTATTGGCGGCTCTATACACATCATTCCGAGCAGCTTTGGCTGTAAGGAATCCTCTTTTGGCAGCCCAGGCTAGGGTAAATGAAGACACAAAGCAAGAAGTACAATAATGAAAATAATATATACAGTCTTTTACAGGTTGTGATCACCAACTAAATTAGGCACTTTTTATTGGAGTTGCACAGCCAGTCTGAGTTAAAGAGATTACTGGTAGTTGTGTTAATTTTAGTCACCTAGTTCTAAATTACTGGAAGCTCATCTCTATTGTGAGTGTCTGTATGCCATTTCTAGTTACTAAAATTATCAGATGGAAAACACATAAAAGAGGGAAGTTTCCAGGAATCTCTGAAGTTCTCAGTAATATGGAATCTAATTATCATATAAAACCTGCTTTCTACAATCACCAATCAGAGCATGGTCTTCATAATAAGTTTTGAGAGATTTAACTTTGGAGGCTCAATGATCACACATATGAGGAACCCCAGCCCTGAGTAAGAGGACTGTTGTAAAGAAGACGTAAACAAGGTTTTACCACTGGCCTTGAGACTGTCTACTTAAATATTGGGTGTATCAGTGTGTCCTCAAGTCAAACTGTTCAAGGTCTAATATATGTCTAATTTCACCTTATACTACAGTGGTCACCTTACCATCACAAATCTCCCACGCTGTCCAGGGTTGAGTATTCCCCTCATCATCTGAATGCTGTATTTTTAATATGTGCGTTAAAGGGATTCTCTCAGCCATATATCCCACAACAGAGTAGGGTTCACGAACTTGAGCAATTGGGTATATTCCCGATAAAATCTAAAATAAGAAACAAAATTTTCATACTAATGTCTGTAAAGATATGTTTTGTTGGTTGCCACAAATTTGTGTTCACAAACTCTATACACCTATGGTTAATAAAACACACCCTTAGACATAATTGTACACCAGGTTAGGTGTATGGTACTATCTGACTGGGGTAAATATGTGAGGCTAAAAACTTTTGGACATTCCGTCAAATCAAAATGTGTTTTGCTATGACTCATTTCATCCCTGTCTGATTTGATAAGCTGGTCATAGGGTGTAAATCTAATCCACTGCCATGATTGTAATTGAGAGGAAACATACGGCATTATATTGGCTTCCCTTGGTGTGCTTATCATAATGGTGATCATAATCATAATCAGACTGCCAGCTAATATTGGTGAAGCGAAGTTTGGTTAATCTACTTCAAAATAGATCTTTAATATACAATACATTAGAGCTGTTCAAACCGTCTCATATCACCTGAAGAGGTTTTGGCACCAATGAGGGAAATACGAGTCCTGGACAGTCACATAGTCTTACTGTATCCGTGAGATAAATTGTTTGAAAATGTTTTGTATGACCAGGGGTTCTTGATACACTCACAACCTGCAAAAAAATGATTAAAATGTTTAAATTTGGATAACTAATATATATAACAAAGGAGTAGCAACATATCTATGGCATCATTTTCTTCAATTTTGCTATTTTGAGTTGAAAAAGTTTAAAAATGCTGTATAAATCTTATATTTATATTCCACTGCATACTATGTGTGAAATATCTTTGTATAGAAATTTTTTTAAAATCCAAATTTTCTTAGCTAACTAAACCCATTTGTCAGTTCCAATTTTTTAATTTCTGGGTCACCCTCCTTATTAAAATTGGAGACTTGGATTTTAAAATTAGAAATTTAGCGTACCAATATGGGCTTACATATTTTAATTTTCTCTACAGTTTTAAATTTACTCATACCTTGGTGATTTAGGTAAAATTGTTGAAATTAACAGAAATTGCTTTTCCAATAAAAAGATGCAAACACTTCATTTAATAAATATTCTAGTACCTTCCTGCCAACTAATGCATTCATCAGTGAGGATTTTCCAACATTTGGGAAACCTGAAAGTAATTTAAGTTTTTAACATAAAACTAGCTGTTTCAGGGCTCCACCCTCACCACTACAACATGTGCTTATTTTGAAAGTACATGCCAAGCAAATTAGTACACATTCCATTCTAAGAAGCATTTTTAAATAGAATAACAAAATTCAAAAGTAATTCTCAAGATGCAAAGTTCATACACTTTGAATTAAATGAGTTGTTAATCTTGAGTTTGTATCTTTTGATAAAACCATACATGAGTTTTGGGCCTAACTCTGCTCAATGACCTTGACCTGAGGCAACAAAGTATTTTACCTAAACATCCTATAGTCAGCACCCCATCTTTGTATCTTTCATGATCCTGGTAGGACAAGTCTAAACTTTCCTGGCTAGCTGAGGCCACAGTGTCCTCCTGGTCACTATCACTGTCCACCTCATGCCTATCAAAATGACCACTGTCTACCTTTCTTCTCCAACTTGACAGGTCCACTGGAATTATTGTTAATAGTAAATTTTACATTTATTACATGAGAATTCCTCCTTCCATGACACTTTTTCTTCCCTTCCAAATTGAGAAAAAGAGTAGGAATAAAGATTTAACAGAGCGAAAATTTGCTTCAAAGAGGAAACATTCTTCTGCAAAGTAGCCTCTAGAATAAACACAGCTTAAAGAAATAAATATAAATATATCAGTTTTGATAATCATTTTACGAATAAATGCCAGCATATGAATTGATATAACTGAAATATCAATAAGAAAGAATGGCTGTGTGGAAAAGATGCTTAAAGATTAAGCTAAGCATTTTAACATTATTCCAAAATCGAACATATAATTTCCCACACAATTCTAAAGATACAAAAGTAAATCTAAAAATAAAAATTCATGTCTGATGGGTTGTGATGCTAAAATGTAACTTGATTCAAATTTTATTTTCCAGGAGGTTAATGTGAGTGTTGGATCTAGAATCGAGTGAACCACTTTCCTTGCTTACCTTTATCTTTGACAATGCTTTCACACACATCCAGTAACTGTTGCGGTCCTACTGCAGTATCTACCCTCTTTTGTCGCTTTCTCTGTAATACTAAACAAAAATAACCATCACGATGTTTATTTAACAAAACTAATTTTCAGTGACATGTTATTTAATTTGCCAAGTTTCTGGTATTTCTTGAGGAAAAAATGCCCATTTACCAGTACAGAGAACAGATTTAATAAGGAGTTCAAAAGAATGAAGAAAAAAGAAAGGAATTAACAAGGGTAGAAAAAAGAAGACCTCCTATTCTCAACACACCAAATGATAGTAACCTTTTCCAGACAGACTGCTTCTTTCCATGGCATCTTTAGGCTTAGAGGTGAACAGCACAATGCTAAGTTCAGGAAACTTCTCCTGGAGGTACTCTTTCCAAGCCACAACTAGCGAGGGAGGTGCCAGATCTATCTTATTCAGCACCACAATCACATATTTTCCCAGTTGCCTGGTGACATGGTCATAAAGTGCTGGGGAAAAGTGAAGAACCTGGAATGATGAAGTGCTTTTATTACTTCAGACTTACTATTACTATAAATATAGGTAAAATATGTGTTGCTAAGATTGTTTAGCCTCCCCCAACCCCCATTTTCAACTATATCAGTGATAAACACAAGAAGCAGGGGAGCCTAGAGAAATCATCCTCTATTATTTTTCTCCCTCATATTGCTTCCTCTCCAAATCCAAGCAACTGATAGGTTCCTGATGATACACTCTTACCAACTAGGGTAAAAAATGGAGAATCTGTCAACATATTGAATTTCATACTAGCAAGGTTATATTATCATTCCAAAGGCACAGTTTTTGTCATCATATTCTCAGGATAAAAATTCTACTGCAAAAAAAATGCCATCCGACAGGTGAAAGATATATATGTATTCTCTTCTTCAATTACTAAATAAAATGTAGACTCGCATATTCCTCCTGTGCAAATAATACTGTGTGTATTTCACATATTAGATTTTTTTAATTTCATTAAATTTTGAATAACTTACTGGAAAGCGAATATCAACAATCAACAGCAAGATCTCAGACATCTCCAACACCCTCCACAGTTGCCTCCATGTCTCCAGGTTCAACTCAAAATAACTCAACTTTTCCACTTCATGTTGTTCAAAGATGTTCTCTAAATATTGCTGAAAGTGAATACATGACAGTAATAAAATCATCAAGTCGGTACCATAACAAATAATAACCTTGCTGTGCTTGCCTGTTTTGTTGATTTGTTTATGCAAACCAGTTTTAAAACTTGAATAGAGCAGGTTATACCATTTTAAGGTTTATTATTAGTTTGCATAGGTGTTTCAGTATCTAATAAATAAAATTGGACAACAACTTTGAAACATCTGTGTATGTGATTATACACCTTTTCAGAACCTGTCTATATGAATGCTTTTTAACGTTCACATATATATATTTTATTCAAATTGCAGCATCTGATCAAGCCACATTACCTGAAAATATTCTTCTTCATTCTGCTCCAGCTCTTCCTTACTAAGTGTGTAGTTCCAGGGAGGTCTCTTGGGGATGTCAAGCACTGTACCAGGCTGGAACACCTCATCAAAAGCAATTTCTAAAGATTCCTGAAAAATGAAATCATGATTTAGAGAGATATAAAGAAATAAAGTTTTATGGAAATATTTACCTGACGGCATATTTAAGCAACTAGCATCCATATTCAATAGTACTACGAAGACTAAAAAAAAAAAAGAGTGAGGTATTTTTATAACTTGCATATAATCTTCTACTTTCTCAAAAAATTTTTTAAATTCTATAATGATCCTTCACTTTTTTAGTCTCTTGGTAAATAGAGACTTATATGTTTCACAAGTTACCTTCTACAAAAATCATTGTTTAGTGAAAAAAAGCAGCTAAAACAAATGACTGAAAGGATCAAATAGTAACTCTACCCACCTCAGGCAGCAAATTAACATAAGTTGACATGGCTTCCCGTTTTCTTCTCTGAATTTCATCACTGGATTCTTTCAGAAAATGAAGCTTGTACCTGCAGAGAGATTTTATCATGAAAGTTACAATGTAGTTACTTACCCAAGCCAGTGTATTTTCAGCTTTTATCAATAGTTGAATAATGTGTTAAATAATTACAGTCACACACATGGAGATTCTGTGTCATTATGTCTTAATGTGAGTTACCCAACCCAAATATATAAAACAAAATAATAAAATAAATTGGAAAAAATTAATAATTGTTACCAGCTTCATACAAGTGATTTACCAATAGACAATGTTCTGAGAAACCATCTGCTCTTCACCTGCTACAAAAGTGAATGACAATGGCACTTTCTTTTCTACTAAGAAATCAATTTCTTGGATGGTGAGAAAAGCTAGGATTTTTCAACTTTTGACAACAATACCTCTATATTTCAGATTTATAGCATTATTACTGTATCTGATACCTGTTATGGTCGCTTTTCTTGTCTACTGCCTGTGGTTGTTCATTCAGCTTTTCCACCTTCACCTTTTCCACTTCTGATTTATCAATAGATGGTCCATCTTCAGCAGACTGATCAGAACTTGCAGAACCACTTTCTTTCCTAGCTGTGAGAGCATTTTCACATCAAAAATATATAGTAAATCAGTAAGTAGTGAAATATGATGGATGCATCAGCATGGGTGGCAGAAATGAATGAAAACTACCAGAAACAGCAGAACCATGCTGACAGTACTGTGATACCTGTTATCTCTCAAAATCTGAGTTTACAATCACTACATGTGTACATTAACTTGTTTCTGAAGAAGTCATTAATTAAACCACTAAGCCTTAAACTCTGTGGTGAGAATTTAGTTGTACTGCCACCTAACAGCCCCAATCATATAATAATTCTTTTTTTTACTGTAGCTAAGTTCAGTGATATTGATAGAAATATTATCATATTAACAAATATAGTGTATAATATGTGTTATGAATGTGATCATTCATAGTTCCAAGATACTGCACCAACCAAAGACTTTAGTGATGTTAATCACTTACTTTGGAACAAAAACTGCATGTTACACACTTACAGCAATATGTATTATGCAACTCAAAGAAAAGCTTATTCTTCTAAATTAAAAATTTCTGTATGTAATCATTCTATTAAAAAGAGTAACCTTTTAATCGCAATCTCTTCTCCTGAAGCTGTTTCTTTTTAAGCTTCCCACTGAAAGGCTTCCTTCTTGGCATAGTGATAAATATACTGAAAAAAGAATGTAAGCAATAAAACTCCTGGATGTACCTTCACAGGCTGTTTTGGGCAAAATGAACTTCAAAGTTTTGTACATATTGATCAAGGTGCCAATGGTATATAACTGATTATACTATATACAATGTACTGTACGTACTCAGAGGTACTTCGGTCACAGCTACAAAATCATTTAATCCATTGACCATAACATAAGATGTGCAATGCATCAAATCATTGCAACAGATCTACATACTATTACATATGTCCTGCCCGATTTATAAGAAGTGGCTGGTACATGTTGCCCAAACATACGTGTACATTAATCTATTGACAACTCAACAATGTTTAATCACAAAATCTTCGCCCCTGTGAATCTATAAATACATATCTAACCATATGATCACATGTAATTTTGGGGCAAAAACTAGCTTCTTCACACACCTTGCTGAAGGCTAGTTTTCACCTCTGTTTTTCCATGAAGGAAAACAAATTCCGATATCAATTTCTAGTCTCTGTGAAGTCATGGTGCAATCTTTAGGGCGCAGCCATATTTATGATCTCGCACTAAATATCAAGTAGCATTAATAACATGATTTATATTAATTTATAAAGATAAAATACATGTATTAAAATTATATAAAAAAAAAACAAATTAATAACATTTATTTTTTAAATAAGAAACTTAAGCATTTTTCGCAATATTATTCTCCTCAGCGATTCAGTACGGAGCTGCATTCAGCAAGATGCTTTCAGAAATTAGGTCGGTTGTTTTCTCCTGGTAAATACGATGAGTCACTTTTGACTCTTGGAAAATGGTAGACGAGCATGGAATTCCCATTCAACATCAATCAGCTGTTAGGAGATGAAATAACATTACTTCATGGCCGAATAAAACCTCACAATAAGATACGAGACAGGTAAACATGACAGATTGTTGCCAAGCTGTTGAATTGAATTGTGACTTGAAATTTTGATGTTTGAAAATTAAATGTAATAATTTGGCACCATTGTATAATTATGTCTTTTCAACCGTTGCATGCTGCCATTGAGAATTTATTTAAACCAATATTTTACTGGCCAAATGTCATTATAATGAATCATTGGTTACAGTGGTAAGAACCACATCATTTGTTACACATTCTAGCTCTTTATGTTGTCTGACATGGACTTAATATGCTAACTCTTGAAAAATATCAATATTTAAGTAACTGTAAAATGGCATACAGCCATCAAATTGGCTGTTTATAAACGATGAGCTCACAAATCTTATAATAACCTTTCACCTACCTTTTATATTCAGTGAATCACTGCTGAAAGTTGCAAATGCCCTTTTCGTATTGTATTATGCTTATAATTATACTTCTATGTACTGTATATGTACTTGCATATATCTGAAGTGCAGCATTGTGAGAGATTGACAAATAAAGGACCTGGCTACTATGAAAGAGAAACATCTAGTCTTAACCTTGGGAACTTGTGAAAGAGAGCTTAACTCTCCATTGCATAAATACATGTTTGACTAATCAAAATGTTGAGATACAGATACATCAGTCTACTCCAAAATGTGAAAAAAAGGCTTGCCAAGGCAAGATTTTTCATGCTAGGATGCTATTGGGTGATTATTTGGACTGTCGAGTATCATAAGTCAAACCTTACCTCACAGTTGGTAGGTGTGCCATGATGTTTTCTATTTATTGGGTCTGTATACTCAAATAGTGAATTAATTATTTATATTTTTTCCATACAGCTACCACCAGTACAGGGATCAACTATGCAAAGTGATAGACAAACTTGGTATAGCTTCAGCAAAGGTAAGGCTGCATGACAGAAGACATTGAGTGGTTTTAATTTCTTGAATACATGTAACATCAAAAGAAAAATCCACAATATTTTTATTACAAATTTTTTACATTTTCCTTTCAAATAGCCTTTGTGAAAAGCTTGTTATAACTTAAGTGCCTTTGTATTATCAATCTTTTGCCTGTGCAGTAGATTGCAAACAAATCCTGAGCTCCAAATGTCTATTTTCGTTGATTAATTTTACAGAATAGGCCAAGAGAGTCAGGGTGGGTTGCATTGACCACAATTTCTGCAGATTTCAAACACTTTGAGAATGTTATTGTGATAACATATTTAACATGTAGAATGCACATTTTGAATAATAAAAGGTGCTAATACATAAAATATTGTTTATCAGGCACAGGGCCTTCATGGTGCCATCACCTCCGCAAGCAAGTTGGAATTCTCGGATCACAACCTTTATGTGATGAAGGATGCAGAGGGAACAGAGTAAGACTGGGTTCCCATGCCTAGATCAATCCATCTGGATCGGTCTCTCTCCCTGGGGAGTGTCACTAAATTGCTATCAACTTAACCGGCTTAAATGTCTGTCACGCCCACCGAATCAGCTAGGGTAAAGATAATTACTCCCTAACAGTTTTACTAGGCGGGACAGACATTTAAGCTGATTAAGTTGATAGAAATTTAGTGAGACTCCCGAGGGAAATAGATTGATCCAAATATCTGTGGGAATGGTCCCTAAGTGTTAGAGGATATCCAGCATTGGGTTAACTGTTTTTAGAATAGGTTTGAGTGGAATATAAAAATGCCAAGGTCTTAGGGGAAGCATATTGTATCCCTTTTTTGTCCCTTCATTATTATTCGTTTTGCTTAATGTATCTCTTGATTGTCCTTTATTTATCCCTTGTTGGCATTTTACTTATCACTTGGTTATACCTTCTTATCTTTAATTTATTTCTCATGTAAACCCTTGTTTTTCTTTGTTTATTTTTAGTAGGTTGTAACCTGTTATTTTAAAGCGGAGCTGTCAGCATTGGTCACGTAGGCCATATTGCCTTAATTAAATTTTAACTGTTTTGTCTCAGTCTGACAATCATTATTTGGATGGGATATCTTTCATCTTAAAATTCATTTTATTGGACACTGATAGCTGTTGCATATTAAAAATATGTGTCAGTAAACTTATTTAACTGCCTACATTTTAAGATTCTGAAATGACTTTTAATATGTTTTTCATCTTACCTTAGTGGCAAAGGAAGTGCAGTGGGATTCATCAAAGTAGGATATAAAAAGCTATTTGTTTATGATTCCCATCACAACCAACATGAGATGGCGCCACTTTGTGTGCTGGATTTTTATGTCCATGAGTCGCGGCAAAGGATGGGCTGTGGGAAGAAATTGTTTGAACATATGTTAAAGGTAGCTACAATTTGGCCAGTCAGTTTGTATTTTTCATTAGCAATTGACAAGAGACACACATCTGTAGCAGAACAAGTCGGGGGTTTTTATAAGGGATCATAAGTCCTTAAATGGACGAGCATATCAAAATAATGAAATCTTGTCTATCTAGGTGCATGTAGTAGCCATCAACTGATACTGATTACAATAAACTTATTGGTAACATGATTTTTATGGACATTACATGATGGCGCAATACACCACACCAGTCATCATTTTATAATATCTTTTGTTATGATTCTGTTTTTGAAAAAAGGAAAAAAAAAAAAACAAGATGTGATCATTGTAAAATTGAACCAGGGTCAGTAATTTTTGGAAAATTTGTTCATTCATTTCTGTATTCTACTTAAAGCCAGTACATTGTTAGATCTTGCTGTCCTGAAGGAACAGTGGGCTAAAAATCTTTTGGTGTATCCTGATTTTAAATTATAACCAAATGACTCATTTATTTTTATGAAATCATTGATGGACTTAATTGCATGCTTGGAAATTTTTTTAACCGAAGTCATTCTTTGTATATATTTAGCCAAATCCATGCCAGTAAAGCCAGATTGATGTAGACAATTTGACTATGCATAGATTGATCTAGATCCTGTAATTCCACTATATGTATGATGATATATTATTCTTCATTAAGGCTGAGCATATTAAGCCCCAGCATCTAGCCATTGACAGACCATCACACAAGTTCCAGTCATTCCTTCACAAACATTACAACATGAAAGCAGAAATTCCTCAGGTCAACAACTTTATGGTCTTTGAGGGCTTTTTCAGGGACAGACCTCCAGGTAAATAATGAAATTAATTGTAAAAAATCTTCATTGTGTGTGTTTTTCTATATTTTCAAATTGTTGTTACTATGTGAGGCCATTTCACTGTTTCGAAAGCTGATTTTTTAAATTGTTAAAACTGTCCTATGATTGTTGTTATAAATGTAATTGTATATTTCATATATGCCAGCTGTCTTATTTTAACTGAAGGACACAGTAACTGGTTGTCAAAGAATCCATTTGTCTTTGATTATCTGTCTTAGTTCCATTTCTTAAACAGTATTTAAGTAAAATGATAAAACTATTGAAGTTGCATTGGAGAGATTGTTGTGGTTGGCACTTTTTGGATAAAAATGAGTGTTCTCCAGATTTTTTTTTTCTTGTTCTAGAACCTGAAAGGAAGAGAGACTTTCATGGCAGACCACCTTTACATCCATATAGCAGAAGTAGAAGTGGAAAAAACAGGGGTATGAGAGAAATATAATGTAGAAGAAAATGTTTTTAATGTTCTTTTTAACTGAGTTTTATAATTTGTAGATGCAGAACAACAAACAACACATATAATCTTAATACATGACATTGTGAAGAATACATGTAAGAGTTATAAAATTTAAAACAAGCACATATACAACTATGTTTGAATTCATCAACCATAATTGCTTGAAAATAAAAGAAGACGACCATGAGGCTTGCATCAACATTTTTGTCAAATCACCTGGGCATGTGCGAGCACCATGTTGGCCACAAGCTAATGCTTGGAAGAAAATGTTCAGCTTGTGTTAAATAATTATCATCTATGATCCAACTACAAAGCTAATGAATATTTTTGCTCAAGTCTTATATTGTCTTTTATCTCCAGGTCATTTGTACGAAGAACAGAGCTCACACTCCGCCCCTGCTGCAACCACCTCAGGGAGACAGTCATCACTTTCTAACAGCAATGTACCACTTACTCCATTAGAGAAAGAGGTATGGTAATTACTCAATAAGTTAAAACAATATTTATTTAACTCACCTCAAGGAGACAGTCGTCACTTTCTAATAGCAGTTTATCACTGACTCCATTAGAGAAAGAGGTACGGTTATAATTGTATAATTAAAAACACAGTGGATTCATAAATCACCCATGGCAGGGAGACAGTCATCACTTTTGAACAGCAATGTACCACTTACTCCATTAGTGAAAGAGGTCAGTAATTTCTCACTAATGTTAAAGAGCATGAATTATTAATCCCCCCCCCTCAAAAATGTTTTGTAACTTTTAATTTTCCACAAATCTGATTGTATTTACCTTTCTGACCTATTTTCATGTGCAGAGAGATCTTTTGAAAGATATCTTGGTTCCTAGATCTGGTTCACGGGAGCAGTTAGCCCAGTATGGCAGCCAACCCAATCTTACCAGGAGCAAGTAGGTCATATTAATGTTCAAAAAAAATTTTGCAGTAATAATTATTAATAAGAGAGATTTTTAACTCTTTTTTGCCCATTCCCTTTTTCATATGTATCTTGGTTTAGATTTGATTGTTATCTTCCTTGTGTTAAGCTCTGATTAAGGTTCACACTGAAGTGAAAATAATTAGTTTACTAAATTATAAAGAAATATTTTGATATAGCCTTAACTACAAGAATTCAGCTGCTTATGATGATTGTGTATATCTACTCTGCCTCATAGTTTCTGTTGAATGTTGTAAATCCTTTATCTGCCTCATTTCTTAAAAAATACTTTTTTTTGTTTGCTCAATGTGTTTTTCTTTCAATTGAGTGTTTTGAATTATTAATTGTATGCAAGTGTAAACCTATATTTACTTTTAAGAATCAGTAAAAAAGTGAAAATTGGACATCTATTTATACACAAATAAATTACATATGTTGGGCTTCATTTATTTCCAAGAACTTGCACAATAATCATGATATAAAGAGATCAAACTTATACACTTTAGTATAAATTTTTTAAAGCTAGTTAAAAACAAACATAGATTCATGCGTGTGTATGTGTAAATTGTTCAAAACCCAATTTTAAACCCTTCCAAGCCTTTAGTTTTAATGTTGTTGTTGTTCCAGTTCTCTGACTTTAGAGCTGGATAATCTGTCTCTCAGTGCCACACATGCAATGGGTGCTCAGGCCAGTAGATATAGCAGGTACACTAATGATGGCACACCTACCAGAGAGGAGAGGAGGTAAATGTCTCTACCCAATACTAAAAGGCATATAATATGTAGCAAGGCTTTGTATAGCTAATAGAAAAAAAATATGTCATCAAGGTGTCCTATCCAAAACTGTTGAGAATATTAAGATTTGTAGTTTAAGCTTGTAACCAAGCTGTTGATTTTTAAGTTTTATTGTACACTACAAAGATTTTTACACACAATGGGTGGCAGTGAGGAAAGGAGGTATGTGTATTTGTTGTCATTTCACACTGTAAACTGATTTGAGACCCATCTTTTGCTGTTGTTGTGCATAGAATCATGTTAGATAGTTTGTGAAAAGCATTGAAGAATTTTTCAGGTTGTCTTTGGGCACATTGATGATAAAATTGATAAATCTTTGCTATTTTTAAAAATCACTATGAAATTAAAAAATCTGTTCAAGATTTATTTTGGGGCTGTTTTCAAATGAATTCTATTCATTTTTTACAACAAAAGAGCTACTCCTGTAAAGAATCAGCAGCAGACAATGTTACAACAAGGGCAAGGTCATGGCAGTGTGCCAGGATTAGGGTCTCTCACAGGTTTAGGTCAAGGTCCTGGGCCAGGTCAAAGTTCAGGAGCCAGAGTGACACCTGTAGAAAATGCTGGTGGTATGTTGAAATTGAATACTGCTTTGATGTCGCATAGTGAAATTCGCGAATCATGCTATTTTGCAAAATTTACACAACAAACAGCTATGTGGTAGTGAGATTTGGTGTTGCTCAGAAGTGTCAAATAACAGTTGGAAAGTGCATGTAGGACATAGATGATTTTTCAAAAGAAAAGAAAATTTAATTCTTTCAATAGAAAAACAGTAACAAGAAGCTGTTGCTTTCCAAAAATCTGATAATACATAACATTAAAATTATTTGTAGAAAGTTTGCTCTTAAATGCTTTAAAAGCCTCTGCAAACTGTCAAAAGCAGTAGTTTTTATTTATGAAATATCAACAGTCATTGTTGACTTGGTGATATGTTAGCATGAGCCGAGCTGTAAACACAGAAAGTGTGAACCAAGCATAGTTAGACATTTTATTAAAATTTTTTTACAAGACAAAAATGCTTCTCATAATAGTAGCATTATTATATTTTTTACAGGTTCTTCCCCACCCTTGTTAAAGAGAGGTGGTCCAACTGGTGTTTCAGGTGCCCTTAATACACACCAGGACTACTTGAGCAGAGGCGGTCACTTAAAGCTGTCACCAGCAGCCACTGCACCTACACAGGTGGTTAGTCCAGCTGCTGGCAGGTAGGTTGACTAGACACTAAAATTCAGGGTACTGAAGGTGAGGCTGCTGTATCTACTCTCATCCTCACACACACACACACACACACACACACACACATTGTTTAATCGTTGTCTGTGGGTTTTTTTCAGTTGTTTCTCTCACTGTTGTCTGAATTGTGGAAATTTGTACTTACAGTGAAACAAACACTTCAACTCCACCTAGAGCAGCCAAACCTTTATCTATGGCGACAACATGGAATATTTTCGGTGTGCCACAAGCCAGTCAGAGTCCAGCAAGTGCCAAAAAATGGTCCCATACAAAGCTTTGGTGATTAGTACATAGAAGCATCCAAATTTTCAAAAGTAGTCCCATTAAAAACTATGGTATGCTGTGGAGACTAGTGATATCTATTTGTTGCAAGAGGGTAACAAGCTCAGCTGTTGGAAGGTGAATGTAGGAGATTGATGAATTTCATGAAAGAAAAGAACACTTTAATCCTTTGGATAACAAAACAGCTACTGACACTTTCCAAAAAATTTTATCATATATATCAAAAAAGTGATTTGTAGAAAGTTGGCACTAATAAGCTTTAAAAGCTAACTCTGCAGGAAAGGGAAGTTTGTGAAAAAGTGCTAGCATGCCAGAGTCAACAGCTGTGATGGAAAGCACAATTATGGATAATTTTATCATAAACATTATTGTTGAAAAATACACATAAATCCCTTTAAGCATCTTTATCATGTAGACTTAGCATTCGTGAAAAAGAAACTTGTCTAAAATACAAAAAGAAAGTTTTTAAAATTTAAATAACAATGTTAAAACATACTATTCACCACTTTACAGATACTTACAAAATTGCTGCGCGCATGCGTGAGAATTGCATTGTGGGAAAAAATAGAGCAAAACAAAAACGGCGAGTATCCGAATAATGGAGAATAACCTCGACGATCACACACTCTGGTCCATGATTGAGAGATGGAACAATAAATTGAGAATTGACATATTGATTGAACTTGGCAGTTGTAAAATTAGTGGGAAATTACCTTTCTCGATACCTTCTATCATTTCTGCAACTTGAAACACAGCAGGTAGTCATTATTTTGTGTTCAAGAGCCTTCGCGCCAAGAGTTCACACTCTTTTTTTCCCCCACAATGCAGTTCGAGTTTCCTGTCGACGTACAAATGTAAAGTGATGAATGGCAAAACTATTTATTAAGTCATAGCTAGGACACAAAAACTAGCAAGTGCGCAGATTCTTGGTAACAAAGATTCTTGGTAACAGCATTTTTTTGCCTGGAAATATATCCAAGCATGTGGTTTGGTTTAGAAACAAGTTGTCAATCAATACCTCAGTAATACTACTTCCCTTGCTGCAATTGGCATATGACATTCCCAGTGAAAGTTGGAAAAAAAAACTTTTTATCTAGACATAATTATGAATGGCTAAGTGCCTGTAAGGCATGTCAGTGTAGTCTCACAGTGTACAGTACCTACAGTGGTTGTTGTTTTTATATACCTGGTTGTATTGTAATTATGTAGTAAACTTTAGGGAGCATTCAGAACGAGCTGATCTGTGGACTAGCGGATCAATTATGGCCGACCCACTTGAAAGCTTGCCGCATAATCCCCTAATAGACACTGAATAGATTCCCGGTGGGGTTTACGCAGCAAGCTTTCAAGTGGTTCAGCTATATTTGATCTGTAGGTCTGCGGATCAACTTTGGTTGTGAATGCTGATCAGTACAGTAACTGTAATCTCAGAGACTGTCAAGTATGGTTGGAACAGGGTGCTGTCAGAGGGTCTGAAAAGTAAGTAGTTGATGGACTAGGTCATTCATAAGCTAAAGGATAAAGTTGGAATGTAACCATGTTTTGATTATAGATACGTAAAAATCACTAAAGATTTACAGTAGGTTTTATTTCTGTAGATGTAGGTTTAATGGCTCTATCCTTGTGTCATGTTCAAATAGTGCCTTATTATTGTGAATTTATACCACAACTTCACAAGGTACACATTCAAACATTTGCGTCCATTTTTACTTGTCACTTACCCTTTTTAGGAACATAGTTTTTATTTTTAAATTTTTATTTATAATAGATATATTGAATTTGTTCATTTATGTTGTGATATTTGTATTGGGTCATTTGTAAGTTTGCATTTTTATGACATTTTATGACCACATAGGTAATGTAGGTTGCCAGAACTACAATTCAGTGGGGTATTTTTTTTTAAATAAAAAATGAATTATGTTACTGATACATAGTGTCTGTAGTCTTGCCAGCAATGTAGATTTCAAAATGTGTTGATACAAATTCTGTGGCAACAGAAATCTGCATGTAAAGAAGGGAGTTGATTGTCTGAAAATTGAGAATCTTTTTTTGTACTATTTTATTTTTACGGTTGGTTTAATTTAGCTCATTGAAGTTCTTGGCTATTGGGATTATGGAATATATTTTATTCTTTATTAAACAAATGTAACATAAAGTAAAAAAATGTTCTTATGTCATATCATAGAGGTAGGTGTAATTTCATACATGAGAAGAAAAGTGTACTACTCCCATACAGAGGTGCAAGTTCCCAACCCTATAAGCATCTGTTAATTAAAATTACCACTTTCTGCATTTGTCATTTGCCTGGTTTCTATATGTCACATTTACATGTAATTGGCTTTTTATAAAATAATGTATTTGAAATATTGTTCCTATCATGTTTTTGATTATTAAGTTGTACAAGAATACAGAACTCTCAAAAAGAAAAGTACTGAAATTGGAGTAAAAGTTATAGTGTTTCATGTCAGAACAATAATGACTCCACCTTTTTTGATGGGGATATATAATTTCTGAATAATTCAATTTTGTTGCTACCACTCAACAGGAATGTTTTAACTTTGAGAATTTATGACTTGAAAAAAGCAGTATCTGTAAAAGTCACGATTTCTCCCCATTGAAAAGATTGCGTCAATTTCATAATACCTTTTACTTTGAGTAGACTCACTTTCTTGAAAGAATATTTCACTTGCTAAACAAGGTTAATAAGATTTAATCAAAACAATAAAATTGCCCATAAAATTATATTTATTTTAATCCCAAATATTTGTACACTATACAATATGATTAACACATGAAACATCACTTAAAGGTACGAACAGCAATATCACATTGACTTTTGATGATAAGTGTCAATTAAAAAAAAAAAAAAAAAAATAGGCAGTACAATAATACCCTGAGATTCAGTTCCAATGTATGCCAGCTTCTTCTTTTTAACATCTCTGTATGACTAGCAGGCAAAAATAGAAAAATTCAAATATGAAGAAGCTGGTTTGCATTAGGTCTAAAACTCGCGGATATAAATCCAATAATTTCATTCATTCAATTACCCTTGAAGTACAGGTCATGACCCAGTTCCTAAATATTGAACAAATATGTTTTCATACCTCTTTTCAACTCGTCAACATCTTTCAACCTGTCTACACCTTTCAAGTTTCAACAGTAATACAAACTGACCATGAATGCTAATAAAATAAATAAGATAGCTAACATACATATATACATAATTGGCAATAAATAAATACTATATTTTACAAATGTAGTTTTAACTAGAACCACATGGATTGCCAAGAACCATGTAATCTTTTGTTTGCACATTAAAAAATAAAATGTCATATTCACAGCGCCAAGGCAATTGTAAAATCCTTTGCACCTTCTTACAATCCTATCCTTGTCAAAATATAAACAGAGCAACTGAGGACATTTCTACCCCAAATAATCCCTATGATCAATTCAAACAGCTGAACACATAAAAATGCTCCTGGGAATGTTATGAATTTCATAACGAACTATTTTTATTTTTAAAATATCACATAAAGCATTTGATCACCCTCTCACACCTGATGTACAATTAACAGTCTATAGTCCCTAGTATTGTGCTGTGTATCATACTTGTATAAAAGAAAAATACAAGGATCACACATGACTGCTACATCCATTTAGTGTCTAAATGATGCCTAATAAACGAACAAGTCAACTACTCATGTAAGTAAATGCATATTCCATCTATTCATTTCATACCTCCATTTACACAACATTCAAAGCATTTACAATGTCCATATGGTTAAAGCAGCAGTGCTTGTGACTGTCACAAATCACAGGTGAGCAATTTCCTTATTGTAGCCACAATATTGAACTTCGTAATTTTAAATGGGTTTCCCACAATAGTATAATCCTCTGCATAAAGCACAACTTTCGGAACAGGCTGGCATGTTTTCCTCCACTTAATTTTTTAAAGTGCTGCAATCCAACAGCTTTGTAACAGCCATTCCTCTCAGGTTTAACTTTATACCTGAAAATTTAAAAGAAGACCTACAAGTAGCCTCACATTGCACCTTCAAAATATATAAGATATGAAGCAATCAGGTCTACTGGCGCCAGTAAAGGGTTTAAGTTGTCACCTGATGTGAATTCACCTCCATTAAGACTGTAAGAATGTGCGCTCTGTCACAGCTATATACACGGCCCCAAAGTACACCATCAATTCACGTTCCAAAAATAACTATGAGAAAAAGTCATGCCGTTTCTATGGCAAGTATGTGAGTCCAGTCATGTCAAGTCATCAAGAATTTTGTGGCTCAGTTGTCTGAAGACTGTCATTCTGAATTAACTGTGCCTGCATTTCGACATCTTTGGAGTTAATTGCCTGTGCCCTCATTGTCTCCCTGTCAGCCCTAAAACAAAATGCATGAAACAACCACATGAAAATTAATCTATGATTAATAAAACAGATCAAGATTTTTTTCAACACACAAAAAGGACATTAATTTTCCAAAGGGAGGACAAATACAGTCCCAGGAAGAGAGGCTCAATTCCCTTTTTTGTCAAATCCAATAAGTATGCAGTTTTACCCTTTTCTATTTATTCATTTTGGTACAAGTGCATCTTTTAAAATGACTATGACCAAACTGATACTGTAAAGAATTTCAAATTAATAATAAAAATAGATGTGATAATTACAAAACTGATTCTAGACACTCACTTTTTCCCCAAGGCCATCATCCCATAAACAGCAGCTGTGACAAATATCAGTCCACAGCCAAATATAGTGGTTATCTCAGCACACATCAGCACAGGAAATACTGACAACCTGGAGGGGAAAAACAAACCAACCACATATATTGATATTTTGATGTATTGATACATATGTAGATACTACTGAAGTCGGACATGTTGAAATCTCTTGAGGTAATGCATGATCGAGGGCCACAAATTCTGAATCAACATTTTTATGGATTACAAACAAAACAATCCTATTGAAAATACTAAATTCTTTCAGTTCAAGTAATTACTGTATCCTTTACTTACACTCCATATGATATAGCTTTCTGCCAGTGTGGCCTTGCATCTGTGAAATTACTACACTTTTGGGCAAACTCTATACATGGACAGCAGCAAGGAGCTTCTACTATCATTATGATAAATGATATAGTCCTATAATGGAATTTCAAAATTTAATAAGAAAGCATGCTGATGAATGATACCATACAAGAATTTTTTTAAATCAATATAATAAAAAACATTAACTAAACAAGTAAAAATATATACATTCAGAACAAACTTTACTTACTCGTACACATTCAAATACTAGCACAAGATAAAAAAAATACCTGTCAACTTTTTAATTTTTTTTTTTTTTTTTGTGTTTCTTTTGAGAAAAATATATCTATCAAAAGTGTATCTGACAAGAATGGGCAACAAAACAATTATATTTGAAAGAGTGTCAGACATCTTTGATTCTTAACATAATATTCTGGGTAGACAGATAGCACATTTTTATTTGCATTAAAGATGTTAGATGATTAAGCCATCCTTTAAAATAATGGTTAGCATGCTGTTACACATAAAATTAATTTAGACTATACTTTTGGAAGATAATGAGGTCATGAAATTACTCCTTTAAACACCTCTATGGTAAAGCATCCTCAAAGAAAAGTCATAAGCAATAAATAGCTCTTTTTCACATTGATAAAAATATAATTCCAAGCAGTAGTATTCCATTCAAAGTTAAAAAGATAGAAACATACACGATTTGGAGGAGGAAAAAAAGAGACCTTCAACAATAAAAAATCTCATTTAAAAAAGTCACTTTTTGCCATTTCATTTGCTAGGTGGCATGCAAACTACCCATTAATTTTTTTTACATATACTAGTAAATACAATGTTCAAAATGACTAGACAAGAAAATTATTTATCACCCAATTAACATAAATCTACCTCGCAAGACAGCCAGACTCATGACCTTGGTACAAGTTCACTACTATTTACCTTTTAGTAAATTCACAAAAGCAACATCCCTTCAATCTCATGGTAAAAAGTGAATCTATTTACATGTATCATCTCTATCAAATATTCACTAAAAGCCATAAGTCTGCTCAACGCATGATCCATATATACATATTACTAGATACCTGTCATATGTCATATGTCTTAGTCACCAAGTGACACCATTCAGTAATAGTATATTATTCCTTCCTTAAAATATCTGATGAAATTTTGACATTCTATAAAGGAGTAATGAGCATATTGATTATTCCTGCTTTTATATAATTATGCAATCATGTACTACGGACATGTCAGATCCTTCTTTAATGTAGCATTAGTGACGGGTCTGTTTGCATCATGTATGCATGATGTACCTGAAATTTTTCCATATGGGCACTCATGTTTTACACCACCCTTTAGTCTACATTTTCCTGCAAAAATTCATGATGGAGCAATATCTCAACTTTTATCACCCATTTCAATCACATTTTATTAGTTTTAACTTCATAATTTCAGTTTAAAAACCCAATTTCTACTGCTCATGAACAAGAGCACCACATGATATGAAGCATATACAATGAATGGCATCACAGTGTAAATACTCACATAAGGGTGATGCCTGCTACTAAACACATTGGAGTAATTGTTATACATGCCACTGCTCCAAGAACAAAGGCAACTAAAAGAAAAAATATCACAGCATATGTATAACAAAATTTGCATACTTTAGCCTGAAATATAGAATCTAAAAAAAATCAAACAGGTATACAATGCAACAATGTACAGATACTGGGTACACATGTAAGTACTGAGTACAGTACTAAATGATGACTGAAAATACAGACAAGTCATAATGATAAACCATTATATATTAAGGGACACTGTTTTATATTTAAATTTCATAAGCATTTTAATTATTATTAAGAACAAGTGAACGTAAAACAGCCTTCTCTGTCAACAAAATGTCAATGACGGCAAATGTCATAAATGCAATCATTGAATCAGTCACTCACTTGACGATCCCACGGTCCCGAATGCTTTGGCAGCTATTTTGTACCATTTGGGCAAGTCATTATCTTGAGGTGGCAGAGGCGCTCCAACACTTTCATTTTGTCCCATCTTAAGTTAATATATTAATGTTTTAAAGAAAACACAGAGCCTATATGTTTGAATGGAAAAAATACTGTCTTCTGTTTTCTGCTTTCGTGGGCAATCTCGTTCTCACCTAAACTAACAGGAAGTCGAGTAACATTTTGTTTATCATGAAAACATGGAATGTTTTATTTTTTACATTCACACCGTTAATGATACAGAATTGGATGATTAAAAATTAATATTTTAAAAATTTCTAATGAGTGTTAGTTTAAAAAGTAGTGTATCAAACACCTGAATTTGGTCATATATACCGTTCCGCTATGCGGTGTAAATAGAAAATCATATAGTTAGTTTTATCCTAGTTGACCGATTTAAACTGAGTGAACACGTGAACATTTAATGACCCGAAGTGAGTCTGCAAAAACCTTTGTATAAATTGTGGACCACAAATTACTTTCGGTCCATGTTCCTGTTAACGTCTGTTCACGTTGGTGTGTGAAGCACTAATACTGTGAAATGTTGGGGAGAACACTGAAAATTCTTCGTGCGGCCGAGGCTCATCTGGTGCAAATGCATCAGTTTGGAAATGTCAAAAAACTTTCCACGAAAGTTTCCGAGCAGTTAAATCAGCTTGCCTTCTTTGACGATGAATCCCAAGCATCAGGACAAGTTGCTCAAAGTTTCAAAGGGATGGATCCAGATTTTCCTTGTGCTACTAAAAAGTGAGCAAATTTTAAAGATCTGCCATTTACTGCTTTTTACGACTAAAATCCAAGTTTATAACTCCCGCTTGATTTAACTTTACAACAATGCTTATTTTGTTTTATAGTTATACTTTTGGTAATAAACGTTTTCCTTATCACACCTGGATCTACATACGAACGTGTAAGAAACGAAAATGTTTGGATAAGTCTCAAATGGCCAAAGGAAGTAATGATGGATTTTAGTGATGTTCTATTAATCAATTTATTAATCAATGATTACATTTTCAGGATAGGTCACAAATGGGCCAATTTCATGAAATTTTCAGGTTAGGTCAGAAATGGACAATTAAAGGAAGAATTGGTTAGATTTTGATGATGATGACTTAATTTATAATTGTCTTGGTAGAGATATTGCACTCTCTGAGTGCTTTTCTTATATTAGAATGTTTTGGGCTGAAATAGCCATCTCGGGGGGGGGGGGGGGACTTTTGCTGTGTGCAATCAGCTTAACTGAAAGACATGACACTTGGCATTGAGTAGAATACTTGTGTGTGTATTCAGTTAATTGAATTTAATCAGTATTGATTAGAATACATAAAAGCTGCTGATTATGGAAATATGTTGAAAACAAGAGGAGGTGTGTCATTCAGTTAAGCTGATTGCACTCAGCAGAGTCTCCGCAGAGTTGGAGCGATCTACGAAGGGCTACTGGTATGGCAACAATGGGAATGTGGTTGTAGACCCTGGTGTCCCAAAGTGTCAGCAGCTAGGGTGAAAGGTTTCAATTGACACAGCATTATGCCACTCTTTGTGACTGTTTCATTCAAGTGTCAAAAGGTAAACAACCTCATTTTGGGCTCATCTAAAGGTCTTTTGAGTTTGGTGTTTACCTTATACCTACTAGTAATAAAATTGATTATTAAACAAAACTCAGAACCAAGAAAAGGTGCGCTGTTTTGCACTTCCTGCTGCACCATGGATATATCTGTTTTAAAATTCATCAGTGGTTATGCAGTACAAGAGTAGTAGCATTTTTTATGAGCCATCAGTATGCTTTACAGACAAGAAAAACGTTTTAAAATTTTTACCACCAAATTTTCTATCTTATGACTAATATAGTACTACGCAACTACATCTGAACATGTGAATAATACAGCTGCATGAACTTTGTATCTTCGCCAATATTTGTGTTAATGACAAGCAACTTTGTGAATGACAGAAAAGATTAAAGAGGGTTTTGCCACATGACCCTTACTTTAATAAGGTACACTTGTGACTGTCACCTTTTAGCACCGCTTGTCAATGAACTCTTTTTTTAAGTGGTATAATGAAATCAATTTTGAAATAGTTTTTAAACAGATTGTATTGAAAACAATGTCTGCTCATTGTTGAAGACCATTTGCATTACTTTGCAAGCTGAGCACGTTTTCAGACATCACATAAGCAACATTTGTGCATTTGTCTAAGTTTCCAAATACAGTTTGACACGTACAAAACATACTTTGGTGGAAATTTCACAGATGGTGATATTACTAATAATCAATGGTAATTGACTACAAAATATATAAAAAACTTTCACTATGCAATTTTTTCAAAAATGAGAGTTGTAAACTATAGGGTTGAATGATATTTTAAAAATATTATCAAGAAAATAAAGTTTTACTCCAAGCTGGGGTAGCGCTAGCAATTTTTTTCGCTTAGCCAAATCACCACTTTTTTGACAATTTGTTATCCAAATGACTTTAATTTGACTAAATTACGTCAAATCAAGCCCTTTTTGTTTAGCCAATTTAAGTCAGTTTTAGCATTTGGCTAAATTGGCAAGTGTTAGCGCTACCCCAGCCAGCTCATATTGAAGAAGAACAGTTCAAGGAATAGACTTATAAAACACAAAATCTGTGAATTGATTGTAGTTATATGCACATAAATGGTATTACATTAAATGGTCCCAATTTGTCTTGCCAGGTAATTTTAAAGATAAATTAAATTTTCATTAATTTCAGCCCCTCAGCTGGTCCAGAGCCAGAGTATGACAATGTGGTCTCAGGTTTCAAACTTTACCACCATCAAGAGCCGTTCTATTTCAAGTACAATGATGCTGTGTTACCAGAGCTGGAAATTGCCTACGAAACATGGGGAGAACTCAATGCAAGTAGAGACAATGCTGTTGTAGTTCATGCTGGGCTGTCAGCTAGTTCTCATGCAAAAAGTCACAAGGTACTTTGTGTTAGATGTTTTGTAGCAGAAATTCCAAGGTTTCAACAAAAACCTCAGTTTCAATTCTTTGTACTGTTGCTTATTTGATCATGCTAGTGACCCATCAGTTACTGTTGGAAGTTTTTGTGCTGAGTCCTTGTAATAACATTGTTCAGAAGTAAAATCAGAATGTCTAACAGTCCAAATAAATTCACAAGATATATCAGAAGCTTTGCTTGGAATATTGAATTAATGAGGGCATAAGCAGATAGTGTAAATGTTGTAATTGTTTAAATTGACTTGTCAATGAGTAAAAAGTAATTTGTTGTACTCGTTCAACATGTGTGGAACTTTTCTGTATGTAACTACATGTATTTTGGGCAGTTAATATACATATACATTTAAGGATGTTAGAAAATCATGAAAGCCCAGTCTGCATGTTTTCAGTGTGATATTAATAGATAAGTCATCTGGCTTTATTTCAGCCAGGGCAAAATAATCAATTCAGATAAAGTTAAATCATACATAGTTTTCCAGACATGGCATGTGTCTAAACAGAGCAATTATTTCAGTGTGATGTAAAAAAAAAGCATGTTTATTATTTTAATGTGCCATGACTTGAAAACATCTTAACTACAATGAGTCCATTTGTCCCTTGTTGTTGTGTTAATATGTTATGCTTGTAAATTCCTATGAAATTATAGACAAGCACAAGCTGCTTATCAAGTTTAATACCAGTTTATTTGCCTGAGGTGCTCTACTTACAGGTCATGTCAACTAAGGTAATCCCCTATAGTCGTAGGTTGATATAGATGCACTTATATCAATAATAGTTCTATAATTCCAGATAACAGGAAATGTTCTTGTGTAGTATCTGACCCTTATTTCAGGACAATCCGAAGCCTGGTTGGTGGGAGAAATTTGTTGGACCTGGCTGTGCCATTGATACAAATAAGTTCTTTGTTATCTGCACTAACACTTTAGGGGGATGTTATGGAACCAGGTAACAAGCTAATGTGCTGCTGTCAAATAAATTAGTTCAGCATGGTGATGGGTGCTTAAGTTGAATGATGCAATACTTACCATGATATTAAAATACAGCATGTTTAACTCGAGACATTTTGACTAATGAAAAAACTACAGTGAGAATCTTCATATAAATATGCCTGATTCTATACTCATAAATATATGTAAATCTGAAGCTTTTTAACATGCAGATTATTATTAAAACACCAATTAACCTTTGCATCACATGTTCTTCAATTAACCTTTGCATCACATGTGAAGAACATTCCTGTATATCTTTTATTAATTTTTTTCCAGTGGACCCTCATCTGTTAATCCTGTCACTGGTAAGGTAAGAAAAATTCCTGCAAAATAACTAATTTCTGTTTTTCTTCATTAATGTACAGTAGTTTCATTCTTCTTTAGTTGTTTAATCTCAGAAAAATTGTAGAAAATTAGGAAAGATCAAAGTATAGATACAAAGGACACTAATATATTTTTAGAATAAAAAAAAGTAAACAAACAATATTATAATTTTCAGCGGTATGCTACAACTTTCCCAGTAGTCTGTGTAGATGATATGGTGCAAGTACAATGGCTACTGTTGAATCACCTTGGAATCCCAAAGGTAAGGAAAGAGAGAGAGAGAGTGAGAGAGAAAGAGAATGTTAAGATCATACTATTGGTTTAGGCAAACTAAATAGCATGTTGTATAATTCAGTTCACTCATGCATGGTTGGTTTTTTTCCAGTTGCATGCCTCTGTTGGATCTTCCTTAGGTGGGATGTGTAGTCTTACAGCTGCTGTACAGCAACCAGAAAGAGTAGGGAGGTGAGAAATAACTGAATACATCAGTTGTGCTTAGTGGTCAACCAATTTTATCATCATTTTCACAAGTCTAGATTAGACTTTTCCCAGACCCCCCCCTTCCCATCCCCATCAGAGGGTACAATGCTAAAAATGATGACCTTTGACAGCAATTTGGATCATCATTTTTGTTATGTTTCAAAAATGTACTAGGGGCATTAACGCCATCCCCTCCAGCATGGGGTTTGTAGACTGTGAAAATAGTGATTAAAATAGATGACCCCAGATACACATTAGGTCAAACCAGGTGAAGCATTTCAACAAAAACAACTTTGTAACAAAACATGTTAGCTCAACTGTCTCAAAATGTGTCCTATAAAGATATCATTAATTACATTTAGCTCTGATTTGTTTGTGGTATGAAAAATATCAATAAATGTTAAGCATAAAAGAAAGGTGATGAAGGAAATGTAAATTAAATGTTTTTTTTTTTTTTTTCAGGTTGATCTCAATATCGTCTTGTGGGCAGTCCCATGCCTCTTCCATAGCTCTGCGCTACCTTCAGAGGAAAACGATCATGACAGACCCAGATTGGAATAAGGGCTTCTATTATGAAGGCAAATATCCTAGAACAGGAATGAAGATGGCAAGGTGCTTTAATTTGTCATGAATAAAACATAATTTTGGCCCATGCTTTAGTCCATGACTACTGTTGAGTACACCAATTAAAGTAAAGGAAACCTGTCATCAATCAGACAACAAAAAAATAGTGTTGTGGTGGATAACTGGGAAAGTGCAATTTTAGATGGTATCTCGCAGGATCTTGATATAAGATCCAAGTTTCCAAATATCTAATAAAAGGATTATTGACTTTGGCTTTGGGTTAACATGTTGTTTGCAAAGTCAAGAATTGAATGATACCTTTCCTCCCTAGGGAGATTGCCACCCTGGGATACCGTAGTGGACCAGAATGGGGCAAGAGATTTGGGAGGAAGATGCTGAACCCAGGGAAGCCAAGCCTTTGCCCAACGTTCCTCATAGAGAGTTACCTGGACTACCAAGGGGAGAGTTTCTGTACAAAGTATGATCCTAACTCTTTGCTGTACATTTCAAAGGTTGGTGGAATGTTTTTTTTTCTGTTCTTTTAAGATGAGTTTTTATAAGTTCATTTACAGAGCTTTACCAGATTATAACGGAGGGAAGCAATCAATGACAGTCCACTATCTTTAGATATCCAGATATTATAATTAACCTCCATTTCTTAGGTAAAATGCAATTTATGACATTGCTACGTGTTGTTATCAATGTATTCATTGTGGAATTTTGAATCTCACAGGAAGAGTTGTTATCCTTTTAAACTGTTGCTCACTAAGTGGAAAGTGGTATCTGATGATTTTGTATAATGAGTCTATAGTATACATATGTTTGTGTGGTACAGAATGTTATATGTATTTGTTTTGCAGGCTATGGACCTGTTTGATGTGGGCGAAGACTATGGAGGCAATGTCCAAACAGCCCTGTCCAGGATTGAATGTCCAGTCATGGTCATTGGTGTGAAAACGGACATTCTATTTCCAATCTGGCAGCAGAGGGAGCTAGCGTGCAATTTGAAGGAAGCTGGTATGTTTTATAAACTGAAAACTGTTGTGAAAAATATTATACATTTAAATTAACTTTGTATCAAAAAGAAAAGTGCAAAGTGCAAAGTCAAAAAAAAAAAAAAAAAAAAAAAATATAGGGTTGTTCAAAGCCAAAAAATAACTAATAATTGTCTTTTTGTACATGATCAGAATAAATACTAGCATTATAGCATATCATATTAATTAAATAATTTAATTAATGTCATTTTCAAACTGATGAGAAATTTATTTAAGAGGCAAAGTGTGCAATTTTAAACATGCTACTTGTCATATTTTATATCTATTAGGCAACAACGCTGTGACCTTTTATGAATTAGATTCCATTTATGGTCATGACACATTCCTACTTGATCTGAATGGTGTTGGGTCTGCAGTAAAGGTAACACCAATATATATGAATTTTGTAGCATGAATCATTGCTAAATAATCATCTTATATATTTTAAGGTTAATATGGTGTAAATTTTCCTCATGGAATACTGCCTCAATTCAAGTGCATGTAACTGAATTAATTTCATTTTTATCAGGGATTTCTTGAGACAGAATTGGCAGAAAAGGGAAGAGCTCGACCACAGAAAGATTTGGATAACGCAGTGCAGTGACTTAAAAATTGGACTAGCACATTCGTATCTGTTTACAACAAAAGCGAAAAGTGAACATGGATTTCCAGAATTCTAACAGCTTTCTCCCCCAACCACAACTGTCAGAACAGTGGCAAATAGGGGCTTGATATCCAGACAGCCATGAACGCAAACGGCAGCATGGCTACTCAACACAAGTGCGTGCAGCATACAAGGTTTATGGACTTAAATGAGAGGGCAACTTACCTTAGACAGTGTACCAATGACATTACAAAAGCCTGTAGGTAGGCAGAAAACATCTTTAACAATAACTATGCAAACATGCTAAACCATGATAAGGGGCCTATTGTTTAGTGTTACTGGTGCTAGGAATGTTGAATGGAGATGGGGATTTTTAAATATGAATTTACATTGTATTTTCACATGAGAAGTAATATTTTGTAATACTTTTTCAATTGAGTGGGTTAAGCTTTAAGGCAGGTTTGCCTATTTTTTTTTCATTCAGTTTGTGGGTCCTTTGTATGAAAGGTCATCATATTGCACTCTTTTTGGCAAGTACAGATTTTAAAGCTTCTGTAATGAAAAAAACCTAAGAATTATTTATTCTCAAGTAATACCGATTTTTCAATGTGGAAGGTTGAAAGTGCCAATTCCATCAGTGTACATTTTTCATCACATTTATGCATCTTTGATCTCGCAAAAATCATTTTCATTGTGTTAATGTATGAATAAGTTGTAAACTCTTGTACAACTATTGACATTTCATAATTTTTTTCTTTCTGTGGAAAAAAATAAGTGCAGTATAATGAATTTCATAAAATGGATAATTTTGTGCGGGATTTTTCCCCCTAAAGATGCCCAATTCATTTTCTTTGAATATTATTTACTTATATCAGAAAGGCAAGTTCCATCATTTTCAAAAAGTAAATTAAAGTACAAGGTAGACATATTAAACTGTACACTATATGTTACCCTATTGTAAAATTAGTGGTCTCAACAGTAAATACAAAAAAAAAATGAAGATACATTTTTTTTTAAAAACATTCCATTATCCCCCTTTAAAGCACACTTAGTAAAATGTTTTTATAATTCTTCTATTTATTGACAAATTGCATGATAGTTGCAAAACATTCTTTATTTTTTTCAATGTTTTGAGACATTTGTATAACTTAAACTTTTCAAATAATGTATTTATTCATAAATGTTCATAGGTCATGTTCATATAAATATATTTATCACATTTATCATCCATTCAGAAGTTAATCACTCACAAGCGTGTTTGTGAATAAGTAGGTATGTTATTATCAGTGTTTGTTTAAATATTTATTTTGCAGTTTCTTTATCACTGCACAGTATTGATTATAGCAATAAATGACAATTATTATTATGCATATTCAGCTTTTGGTCCAACATGAATATATTTTAAGATGAGTTACACATTGCAATGTTCTATATCATGTAACTTGTTTATATTTTCATATAAACACCAGGAGCAAAGAATATCTTGCTGTACTGAGACCCAAACTTCCAGGTTTTCAATTGCAATAAAAATGTTCAATAAACAAATTTTGTGTAGTGTTATTGCCAAAACCAACCAAATGGCTATGAGTTTTTGCTTTTTTTTTCTTTAATGAAATACAATAATCTTGTTTTTTAATGCATATGTTTCAATTTCAAAAATCATGATAATTAAAATAAATGTTCAATAATTTTCAAAAATATAAAATAAATCAATTTTAATGTCATAACGACAATTAATGACTTGAATTTATTAAAGTTTATTTTATAAACTTGTATGCTGAACGTAAACCCGCAAATGTCAATGCAGCATTAATTTTTCATCCAGTTCGCTGTGGCCATTTTCCTGACAATGTCTCCATGCTGAGGATATTTTTGTAGTAAGTCCACACCTTTCTCCTCACTAGTGCTCCAGTCGCCCATAACAAAAGCTGAAAAATGGATTAAGAAATGTAATATGTTAAGTAATAATCTACCAGGGTCACAAATTGATTTTTCACTTGACATTCACAAATATGTCTCTGGCTAATTCATGACACTTTTCTCTGCAGTAAGCTAATTAAGTTAGTTAACCTGTAGCCCTGGTAGAGGATACCTATAAGTAGACTTTTACTTAACTACGCATTAATTGCTTTTAAATGAACTAATATCAAATATGTGAAGTAAAAGGGTAAGCTTTAACTGTACAAAATGGCCACGTTCCTGGACCTTTTAAAAGTAATATTAAATAAAGAGAATCACCTGGAGCTAGAACTGCCCCAAAGAATACACTTTCTGATGTGTCCATCAGTTCAAAGGCGTACCATGTCCCATGGCGGACCAGCACCTGGTAGTTTGCCTCACTGTGGGACAGAGTGTCGCCCAAAATCTTGTTGGAATAATTTCCATCTTCATCAAGGAAGTGAAACTGGAATTAAAGAAGACATCTATGTGTGATAATGTTTGGACACTTATTTACTACGAGATATTAAGTTAGTTGATGCCTTTTTTCTTACATAAATGTGCACGCACAAACAGACACACACACACTCTGTGACATGCTAACATCCACACCTAAACATATATAGAAATATAGATAAAGAATATCATATTTATTCCCATCTCATATATACTCAATCTCTTTCAAAATATAAATAATGTTGCTCATTTATGAAGTGTGTGTTACTTTGCCTTCAATTTTTTATATACACTAATCTTGTGTTGAGAAGAAAATAAACATGCAATTGGTGGCAATTTCTTCTGATTATGTTAATATTACCTTTATAGCACCTCCTCCATGATAAATGAGCAGTTCATCAGACTTGTGGATATGCCATGCCAGGCCATTTTTGCCCGCCTTTAGAACCATATAAATAGAAGAGCCTGCTTGACGCTTGCCTTTATGACTGCAAAAATAAGATAAAAATTGACTTCACGTTGTTGAATCATTAATCTGAAAGGACACAATCTTTTTTATTGAAAAGTTGTCTAATGTGTGTTTTAGTTTGAAAGCCATCTCATATTTTTCATTATTTTAAAAACAGTTCTATAATCATTTTGTCTGTAGACATGTAAATGAATAAATCAAGATAAAAGTTTTAAAATCATAGTACATGTGCCATATTCTTCATTTCTGATGTATGTATTCATATTTTTTTGTTTATCTTTTATTAATATAAAATAAATAAGTCCCTTCCTTTGGAAAATTAAAATAAACTAAAAAAAAGCACTTAAAGAATACACACTTTCCCAAGGACAGCTCAATTCTCATTACTAATTGATTTATTTATGGATCACCACTGAAATTTGGTTATAAGTTACCCCATTTCCAACTTATCCTGAAAATGTCATCAAAGAGATGGACACAGAAACAAAAACATATAATAACCTCCAAACATGGAGGTTACAACTGCAAACCAATGGTAATTTGTAACCCTGTGTTATCTGTACCTTCCGTTTGTGACTGTCACAGAGTGCTCTGTTCTCCACACTTCACTAAAGAATCCACCTCGACACACAGGGTGCGGAGCTAGTTGTAACTTTGATGCGATCAGTTCCATCATCTCTGTATCAAACCTAGATGAAATATTAATGAACAAAGATTAATGAATTGTTTTTTTTTATCACAGAGGATTTAGGGAAAACAGTTACTTGTCAATGATCAATTCAAGGTTTTTTTAATATTTCTGCAACAAGTTGGAAGATACTTAATGAGGAAAATTTCACCTTGATTTCTTAATACATAATATATAAATTGTCCTTTGGTTTAATTTACTATGCCATATCCTAATTCTTTTTCTAATTCATCTAAAGATATAATTCACACCAGAAATAGTACGAATTTCTGGACACTTAAAACAAAATTAAGAAACTATCTTTAATAAATAATTATATATAATGACCCTTTAAAATTCCTATACTACTTATGCCCACAGCTAGGGGAAACAAAAAGCCATTGTTTGACAAAATTTATATATTTCAGAAAATGAAATCAGAAGAATAATTCAATTTTTTCAATTGAATTTCCTCACTTTTCTGGTCGGACAAGAACACTGTTCATAAAATCTGAAGAAGCCCTGTTAGTAGTGGCTAAAGCCTCAATAATGTCTTTATGCTGGGGGAACAATGGCACCAGTCCTCCCTCTGGTGGTGCTGACCAATCTTTGAACTCGAAACCTGCAGAACAAGAAAAAATATTTTTAAATAACAAGAATAACTAGAAAAGCACAGACCTCTGCAAGATCAGTTTAATTATAAATTAATTGACTAATGGACACCTGTCAAAATCTACTTGATTCTAAGTTAGACCATTTACCAAACAAAGCTACTCAGTGAATTTAGAGTAAAACAAAAATACAGTTTGGAAGTTATGGGGTGAACATCAACAAAATTGTGCAAAAAAAAAAAATAAATAAAAATAAAAAAAATAAAATAAAAAAAAATAATTACTGTAAATGTAAACTTATCATGCTGATTTTCGAATGCAACCTGCCCCCTTTACCAAACAATTAAAGCCACTCGGTCAACCTAAAGTAAAACAAAAATATGGTTTGGCAGTTATGGGGCTAACAACATGTGTCAGACAGCAACAGAGACAACATGGGTCAGGGAAAGACCAATCAGAATTTATAGTGTCTGTATATAAAAACCAATGCTTGTTATGAAATTTACTAACCTGGTGCCACTACTTCACTATAGAAGGCATATTGCAGTTTGTCAGTCAGTTCATAAGCAAACCAAGAACCATGTGGAATAACAACTTGGAAATCTACTTCTTCATTCGTCAAGGTGTTGCCTAGCAACTTACTTTGGTATTTGCCATCTGGGAGTATAAGGTGGATCTAAATATTACAAAACAGAAAAAGCTATTTTATCTTTTCAAACAATCATTTTTATTTTGTGATAGGAAATAAACTACACCCTGGAGATGATTAAATTAAGCAGTCTAAAATGCTATTGCAATCATTTGAAATCATTGAAAATTTTACCTTTAAAGGAACACCATGGTGAAAGAAAAGAACTTCATCCGACTTTAATTTATGCCATGTCATCTTTTCCTCTCCACTCAACAGAAGGTATATAGAGGTTCCCGCCCTTCTGGTTTCATCACCAAATCTTCAGAAGAAAAGAAAACAGTTTCAAGGAGCTGATTAATTGTTTGACATTTAGTTGAGAAGTACATGTGGTATAAAGAGATTCTTGATTATATATACAGAACTATAGTATATCATGAATGAAACCGTGTTGCATCCTCATCAGAAAGGCTTTACATGATCCATCAGTGACAAGCAAAATCATCCATAATGAAAATGCAATTATTTGTAAAATTAAACGTATACATGAGTAAGAGAATTTTTTTCAAGAAAAATTCACTTCAGATAGGATATACCTTTAAAAATATTAATTTTAGTATGCACTTACTCTCCAGTGTCCACTTTGACCATATGTTCTGTAAACCAGGTACATTTAATCATTCCAGTGACTGAGTGAGGCTCAAAGCCCATACTTGTGGCAAACGTTGACAAGTTCATTCTAAAAATAAAGTAAACAACTGAAAACAATTAATTCTTCATTATCAAGAATAACCTTGTGTCATAAAGGGTGTTACATATATTTTCAAGTAAGACAGAAATATAGACATATATAATAATAATTTGATAAAATAATTTGTTTGTTATAATTCAGAAGTGGGTGACATTCTGTAGTTTACATATATAATAATTTTAATGCTTAGGGATTATTTGTTAGGCAACATCTCTTTGGTTTTAAGATCCCCTTGTTTGCTGCATGCATGATGTATGAATATTTGGCCACTGATGTCCAATGTTTGCCTAAAATAAATGTGCATGTGTGTACAGGTAATATTTGTACAGTGTACATGTAGCTGCACCAGAATGTACTCTTTTCCTCACAACCATAGTTACAAATTAATTTAGCCACCACCCTAAACTTCAGGAGTTTTGTGTAGAAATAAGTCTATCAGCATTGGGCCTTTTTGATTTTTTTCCCTGCCATATGTA